CCGAGCGGCGTTGGCCATTGCAGCCAGCACCGGGTGGTGGGTGCCTCGCGCTCGAGAACAGCCATCGTGATATAATGCTTCCAAAACATTTTTAAATCAACTCATACCGTTCAGAACATTGACTGCGGCGTTTATCTCACTTACAGAATGTTGGGCTTATCCTATGAAGAGATCAACAGCGATAGGAGCACGAAAATAGAGATTTCGTCTCTAGTTTTCTAGTTCTACCATCCAATTTAAGCGTCGGTTCGCGGCGCTGTGAATGATGATCCGTTTATATCATTGATCTAAAAATTGCATAGGCAGAACGTACTCCCGGGACACTTTCTAAGCGTTTCAACGAGTAAACATATCCTAAAGCGTCCAAAGGTGGTACTGCCTTCATAGACGTTGTATTAGACGTAGTGTTGGTGTTAGACGTAGGACTGGCGCTACGCTGCCCCAGGAAACTGCAACGTCGGGCGGCGCAGTTTTTGTTGTAAGCATTGCGAGCGCACATGGCCGAAGCTGTGTTAGATGATTCTTCCACTACTTGATTCTGATAAAGGCTGATCATTCTGCGTCCAAAACAACTTGATGTGAATGCAAATTTACGACCCCATTTTGATCTGAGATCTACATTTACAATGTTTCTGAGCAACCCAGAAAAACTCCGGTACAGCCTCTGAGTGTTATCGACTTAGAAAGAGCCCACTGAAACATGGTAGGCTTAGTACCGGTGGTTTATTAAAGCAATGATTTCACACCTGCTTCCTTCAGTTTATTGGCTTCAAAAAATAAACAGAAATGTTCCTTTCGCTGCTTCCTGGTTTTTAAGAGGGGCAGGGCTCATCTCGAAATCAAGTGGGTCGTATCAGGTGACTTTTTTTGGGTGGGGGCCTTTCACCAGGGGGAGGGGGGCTTGATCAACCTTGTGCCCCCCCCCCCCCCCCAATTACCAAGACTCTGGTGGCGCCCCAGCGTGGGTAAGCTCATTGAGTACCGAGTATGCGTGCGTAAGTATAATCACATGGTTACTGGAGAGCCGGACCAACTAGCAACAATGTTACGATCAGCCCGCAATGCGCGTGACATTGATATGACGAATATTTCATTTTTATACGTTAGCCGAATTGAAAAGGGTGTGGGTCGCTTTTCTTGCGGAAGCATAACAGCTTGGAAAATCGTCCCCCAGATGTATAGCTGACTCGCAATTTATGTTCATTGAAAAGAGCAGGGAAAAGGGACCCTCAACAGAAGTGTATCTCCCTAAGCGATGCAAGGAATGAACAGGAGCAGTTGTTAACATCAATGCGTCATCATAAATATTCACCAAAATGCACATGTCTTATCAATGACATTGACATTGGTGTGTCGAGAATCTGAACACACAGGGGGCTGTGATAGACACTGGACACTGTACTCTTGTGAATGAATGAACGAATACATAACAGGTTACTTAAGCACGTGATGGTAAATTATGCATCATTGTAATTTTTTAGCAAGCAAGAGCGAGCTGCAACTGTACCCCTCCAGCTTTGCAAAACAGATCCCTTTGTAAGAAGGTCCCACACGCCCACACCCACACCCACACCCACACCCACACCCACACCCACACCCACACCCACACCCACACCCACACCCACACCCACACCCACACCCACACCCACACCCACACCCACACCCACACCCACACCCACACCCACACACCCACACACCCACACACCCACACACACACACACACACACACACACACACACACACACACACACACACACACACACACACACACACACACACACACACACACACACACACACACACACACACACACCCACACCCACACACACACACACACACACACACACACACACACACACACACACACACATACTTGTGTGCCGTGCTTTACGGGACACCTGACTCAGCCGTCACTACCGAGAACCACCCGAACGAATGGCGGCATCGCAGCCAAATTGGAAGGCCATGCAGCCATTTGGCTGTTTAAGAACAGGATGGGTCGTTCGAGAGGTAAAGCTGCCATCTTTAGCTTACACTGGCAATTGAAAATACCGAGGACATAGTGATAACAGAGGACCGTGTGTGACTTTTCTGTCATATTCAGCTGTGTATTGAGGACCGGGAGTTGCACTTGGAAATTAAGGACAAAGGGACAAAGGCTCTCAGGTCGGGGGCCTCGAACATCATTCAGAAGGACTCCTTGGGGGTTGCTGGGAAACTGAGGGCCCCTTTACCGGTGAGAGACGATGTCGAACAGTCTGTTTTGGATATTTGTCGACAAATGTATCGCTTGAAACCAACATGTTAATTAATCAGCGAGGCAACGACCATCTCATAAACCAGTGTCGCGGCCACCTTTGAAAGACGACGGCGACAAACCAAACACGGCCAGATATCAATATGCTACCTTGTGCACAAGCGCGCAGCCAGAGCCTTGGCAACGGGCCAGGGGCACGCACAAGGTTGATAAAGGGCTCCCCAATAGTGAAAGCCCCCCCCCCCCCAAACAAAAATATCGCTGGCATTGGAGTGCCCCATTGTGCCGGCCGGGGCTCTGAATAGTCTTCCAGCCGACCTTTCTGGCCTTTGGGCCCTCAAATCAGGCCCTTAATCGTAAATCCCGAGGCCCTTCGGGTCCCCTGAAACCTTAGGCAGGGGGAACGTGCCCCCTGTGGCCTTCCCTCCCTGCGCTCCTGCTTGCGCGTCAGGCTGTTGGTTTGCGTTCAGATATAGGCAAATAACGGCGGATCGTAGGCTTTCTGCTGCTTAAATCATTCATCTATAATATAACAATCGTTTTACTCTATTTTATCATGGTGCACTTTCCTGTCGTCCCGTTGAAGTCTAAATCAAGTCGGATAAATAGCAGCATACGCCATGTTAATACCTGCTGAACACTCTTCATGAAAAAGCCCTCCCCAGGCCGGTTGATATCACCAACGAACTTTGGCTCCATCGACCTCCATACGACATTGGCTCCATGTTGTGGAATCGCCTCGGACCGAATAACAAATGACTGCAGTTCATTAAACTACCCGATGAGTGTTTGCCCCGACGGCTGGACACCCGGGACACTAAATGTTTTCCGTCCCCAACGGCCCGATTAGAGTAGGAGAAAGGGCAACCAACGCCTTTTGGGTTTCCATGACCCTTTAGCACTAATAGTGCTAACAGTGCTAAAGCATCATCAATGACCCGGTCGGCGGCACACTACTCGACGGCGGTTTTCCCGAAGCTTCTGCTGTTGCAACGGTTGCAGCAGAGGGCGGCCGGGGCTGAGGAGCGGGCAACGGAGGCGACGCTCCAGACAGCGGTGGAAAAATTGACTCGAGGTGCTGCTGGAACTGTTTATCTGCTGACCGAGCTACTGCAGTTTCAGGTGCTTCGGCGGGCAGCCGCCGTTCATCTCATTCGCAGGTGACTCCGACAGTCTCTTCTACACTGTCGGTGTTCCAGTCAGTATACAAAGCCCCATGTTGCTCGACCCTGCTCGCGAACCCCGGTGTCTTAGGGCGACAGCACACAGCCTCTGATGCTGTGGATGTGACTGGCGGCGCGAGTGCGCGGCGGCCTCCATTGGTGGGGTGCACAGTTTGTGGCCCGTTTTTGGGATACGGCTTGTGCCGGCGTCAATGCAGCGGTCTACTTAATGATGGCCTCTTATGCGACTGAGCGTGGGTGAATGGTTCGCTGTTGGTGTAACTGTGAGTCACGTGCTCATGCTACCTGTTAAATGTGCCTTTCCCACGGCTTGCGTATGTGTTGGGTTTTTATATACGTGTCAATTACGCATATGCACTTTCTTCATACAAGTGGAGTCCATGGTGCGGCGGGATGTAGCAATCAGCTGCTGACCGAGGAAGGAGGACCGTGCAACACTAAAATCAATGAGTCAGTCGTTACAGTCATTGCAGTCAGTCACTGAAGCCAAACGAGCTGCCTCATAAACATGTCGGCTGTTTGGCTGATGCGAGATTTCGTGCTCGACGCCCACGCGCCCATTCCAGTCTTCAAAAACTAGTCAAAGGCCCCTGTGGCCCACCACTTCCCAATGTAACAAGTGTGCTTTGGTTAAGTGTAGTGGTGTCAGATTTGCCAACGGATCTCAAAAAGACGTAGAGAAAGAAGCATTTGCATTGAATCCTGTATTGGAAAGATGCGACAGGAGAATGACACACCTAATTTGCTTCCAAACTGACATTCAGGTATAACGCGTTTTTACCAATGGGGTGGGTCTATTTCCGTGCTTAGGTGTCATCTTCCGCCCAGAATTGCAAATCTCGCCACACTGCCCTTGGTGAGCACTGCTTTTTCACCGTTCATCAGCTCCACCTACACAGATTGCTACTATGAACGGGAGCAACAACAAGGAGATCGTTTTTGTCGTTGCGAAATTTACTAGCGAGCATCATCCAAACGCGAACGAAGTCGACATCTAATGTGTAAGTCACTGAGACTCATTTCGCCTTACGACGTGCTCTAACAATCACGTTATGGACATGGATTTAACATCTCTCCATGAGCGCTAGGACAGAGCATTTTCTGCTGACAGGGCACGTAAGCATGCAGCTTGGCCAGAAACCTCCATGTGGCTAACAAACATGCCAAGCTGCCTCATCACAGCTGCCTTTTCCCCATTGCACCAGGCAATACGTCTTTTTTGCCAGTGGTGTTTTTTTCCTGAGCGTCATTGTTAGTCTCTCGATGTGAAGATGTCTCCTACGAAAACAAGTCTCCCTTCCCCTCTTGGCTTTTTGTCCAGGTAGGACATTTGAGACCTCCACCACACAATCGTCTTAACCCATGTCCTCCGGACCGTCCTCTTCTGCCATTGGTGCGCTGTTGAGGTAGTCGACTTCGTCCAGATTTTTCCCTTTGCAGACAGAGATGCCATTTTTGGTTTATTGGTTTTATACAACACGCATCACATCGCAGCCTACTCCTGTACATTTTGCTTCGATCCTGAGCATAAAGCACAGCGACTTTAAAACATAGAAAAAGGAAAACAAAATAACTGACCCAAAACGGAACGCCAACTGTATTCTCGCTCCGTTGTTTCGTAATCTACGAACTACACACTGCACAACTACATCTTTAGAATACCGCTCCGTATTTAAGATCATCTAGAAAATGCATACAGTTTGGCTCCAATGGTAATTTGCAGGCCGTCCAATGCTTGAAAGCGGAACTTCAAATACTCGCATCCTTAACGAGTGTCGCTCTCGGGGAGTAATCTGGAAAGCCGAAAACGGGTGAGATATGAGAAATTTCAGTTCAGAACAGGATTGTGACCCCCACGTGAAAGAAAGTTATGCTTGTGTTCAGAAGCGTGGGCATGCACCACGCTGATGGCTCACGGGTGGTGGAATTAAAATAGCTGTGCAATAGTCGTGTCCCGAAAGATAGCTTTCCAGTTCACAGCAAATCCGTGAACGAATATCGGAGGCCACATGCCTCCCGTCCGCGTACATATTACCCATCTTGTTAGAGCACATGCACTGCCGTCAAGAAGAAGGAAGTGATGGGGCGGCGATGGGGGCGGAGAGAGGGGGACAACAATAAATCGTACTAAGCTCTAGCCACGCAGCCGAACTTAACCTGAAATTAGGCCAACAACAGCAGAGTCGCCAACATTCATCGTCAACGCGATCAGCAGCTACCGTGATTCGGACGGCCCTCATGCATGGTACGCGCGCCCGTTGGCAAACTATGGCGTGCCTGTCTTCATTCCTGTAGCCATGCACGCACAGCTGCGATGGGAATCGATTTAGAGAAGAGCAACAGTTCCAGTATCATCGCTGACCGCATGCGGCAATTGCGAGTCCATGCCCTGATGTCCTAGGCTTACTACGCCCTGTCAATGCCATGCTGTTCATGCACGCCATACGGTTAACAGTCGTAAGACAGCGAGGCATAACCGAAACGAGTTGTGGTAAAAAGCTCATTGCCTCTAAGCTCAAACAATGCATCAATAAGAAATGACGAAACTACGACAGACAGGCGGCGGTGGCCCACAGACCGTCATCCCAGCCCCCGGGCGAGTACGCCCCCCTAGCCCAAGTGTATGTCTACTGGCTGGTTGGTAAGAGTGGACAGTTTTCTGATCACTGCCATATCGCGGGTAGTGCAGGATGAAGGCAGTGTGCGCCATGATGCAAACATTATGATATATTTGATTTATGATTTTGGATCGAGTGCGTATTGTGAGTGTGATTGCACGCTATATGTGAATGCATCAACAAAAATTACAAAAAGACCAGACAACCAAACCGCTGACCTGACCATCGCATTTGAAACTATCCGACGTCACACCGTGATGCTGGCCGCGAAACAGATGGGAGGCAGCCCCAATGCACACCAACGCCGTAACTGTTTTTGACAACGTGACACGCTGGAAGACCGACACCCCTCCTTGCTGCGGATGGGCTTCTCCACGCCATTGCGAGACACTCGTCTGTCTAGCCCCCGCAGACGAGGTCTCTTCGCAGGCATTTTGGTCTGCCCGGAGTGCGCAGACCAGAACCATGCTTAGTGTCCCCTCGATGGGTTTTTGGCAACACCGTTATGGCCCGGAGCCGGATGTGGCAGCCAAACCCGCTACCACAAGCTATGTTCAGTGAGCGGCCGGACCCCACGCTCATGAAAGCGTCGATGATTTCCGCGCAAACAAACCGGCGTTGGTGATGTATATTATATATATATATATATATATATATATATCATTGATCCCGTCGTCAAATGCGTAAAACAACATATAGTAATGATCCAAGGCTTGGTTCAATCGTCCCATTCATAGGAAATAATTAAAGAAACTATGTTGCAGCAAACACCCTAAGCCATACACATTTCACATACAATGAAAAGACCGAGACTGCCAGTGACTAAAAACTTTTTAAAGCAACTTCTGTACCTCACCTGTTCGAATTTGGCAGGGAAATTGCTTGCGAGGCCTATTTCCACCATCGCCAATGCTTCTCATTTTTCTTCGGGTAGCCGTGCCCGTGGTAAATATTCTCGAGGACCCATGAGCTCGAACTCTTGACCCGAACGCCCCAAAACCTGTCCTTCCCGAAGAATATCATGCTCCATATTGCAAATAGCATACGAAAATGCTGTTGCGCGTAAGTCCTTAAGCATCCCAAATATAGCCTGAGTTACCTTTGTTGCAGTAAACTTTCCGGAGGACTTCTTTTAGAGGACTAAACTTCTTTAACTCTCCCAATGGTATACATATAAGCCACCTGAGAACAAAAATGTTTTTGCATGTTTCATTAAAGAATGACGCCATGCACCGGTGGTGCCACAGAGAAGGAGCACTAAATGTTGACAAGACCATTCAATAACGCGGATGCGGGTGTACCTACATAATTGCAGGCCGCGATATGTTAGTGGTGTTGGTGCAGGTGGTGGTGGCGTTGGTTGCAGAATAAAGTGGGGCTGGTACAGTCGACACGTGCTTGCGTAGACCAGCGATGAGGATGGTGGAATGAGATACCAAAATGGCGTTACACTGAGGTCACGCACCATGCAGGAGCTGTTATGGTCACACAATGGTAGGGGGGGAGGCAGACATTGGTGGTGTTGGCAGGATCAGACACTGGTGAAACTGGCAGGGCAATGGGGTCAGCTGCATGGAGCCGACACTCGCATGGAGCTGGAGGGGTCAGACACCATGGTGGGATGGGTAGACCCAGACATTGTGGTGGGGTGCATGGTGTCATGCACTGTAATGACATCCTACTGGTTAAGGCACTGATAGGGATGGTGGAGCCAGGCAGTGCAGTGGCATATTTGTGGGGGTCGGACGATGCAGTGGTGTTGGCAGTGTTGGACAATGTGATGGGGTAGATAGAGAAAGAAAAGCATGCATGAAATGCTAGATTAGAGCTGATGACAACAAATTCTACATGTCACAAATGATTCACACCCTCTTCAGAGTAGTCATTTCCTAAATAATTTGACTTTCCTGACATCAACTGACCTGAATCAAGCCGGTCGCACTAAGGCTTTCTGGTCTTCAATCGCTTCAATGTCCAGTGGCTATAACATCACCTGAAACAGCAACAATGCTAAAAATTATTCAGTGGGTGGAGATTAACTAAGGACTAAGTAAGTATTTTTTTGTTTTTAGCGCCCCGGAGGTGTTCATTGTATCTTAAACGTGAGGGACGTATGGACTTCCCGACATAGACCCAAACAAAACAGGGTATACCCCTTTCAGTGACCATTTTTTGGCAAAACATGCTCAGGCTGAAATCGAGGGAGGTATGGACCCTATGCCCCTTTTAGAGCCCAAAGTCGTCTACAGAGCAGAGGGCCACCCAGGTAGGGAAAAATTTAATCTATTCTTGCAAAAAATCAGCGACCAAATTTTAACATACAAAGCTCATCCTGGCCGATTTTGCGAACATGATATGTGCCTTTATATGCGATGTGTGCTAGCTTAAAATAGTTAACATGTGAAGTGACGCCTGACGCGTGATATGCGATGTCTGTTCAGTTGAAATCGCTTGCATGTATAATTGATGCGCGACTGTGATACCTGTTAACCTCAACTCGTTTGTATGTTTGAACGAAGCGTAATGCATGACGCCTACTTGCTTGAATTAGTTTGCATGTACACGTATTGTCGCCTATTCTAATTATTAGATAAGCACCGTATCGTGGTAACGGCTAGCAATAACTTTTTGTTTAATCCTCTAAGAGTTGGTGTCCTGTAAAAACTGGCTTTCTATTTCCAAAAAAGCTGAAAAATCGGGTAGGGCCACCAGCAGGCAATTTTGAATTTATTTCTGCTACTTTTTCGATATAGGCATGTTGCCGAAATATCAATTCAACTATATCTTTATTCTCCCGGTTTTTCTTCGAGGAATAAGGCTATTAATATTGTCTTAGCTATGTGAAAAATGCTCCTCTGCTAATGCTAATGCACTGAACAACTTACGTAATCTTGCACAACATTGATTTGAGCCAACCGACGGCCGTTACGTCTGAAAATGTATTCACAAAGCCGGATATGAACGACGCAACGGTCATATGATGGCTTGCCTTAATCGCCCCATGGCCAATTAAATGGCAGCATTTGAAGACATTACGCGTTGTGGGTGCCTGGGTGACCTTGAAATAGTCACCACGAAATAATATTCGCACCTTTGCAGGTGTGTAGATCAGAAACTAGAAAGGTTTACAAAATTAGAAGGGTGCTTAAGAATGGCAGGACTGTGTAACATACTGAATGATCTTCAAGATGGCTAATTTCAATTGAAACCCATACAAATGTGGCACACACCCTTTTATGCTCTGGTATCTACCACACACTAAGGTTCCGATGTATGGAAAACCTTATGTTTGTAATGATTTCCCCTTCAAGGCTAAATTGGTGCCCAAAGCCTCTAAAAACGTGTTGTTCTAGGGGGTTGGGGAACATGTCTGTAAGTACCTAACGGCAACATTTTTTAAATGTAATACAACACCCACTGCAAATGCATGAGAAAAACTGCAAGCATCCCCCTTACAAACGTCTGGTCTAGCGTGATAAACCTACCCAGACAATTGCATAATATTGCTGAAGTCAATCTCTTCAACCACCTTCAAAAGCTAACACAATGTTTGCCACTTCAGCAACTATCCTTATCAGCACACCATTCTCTAATCAATCAAGGCAGATCAGTCCTCCATTAGCTACAGTTGTTGGTAAACAGGGTTCACCAATCCCTTTCGAATATTTACTACTCACTTTTTAAAACCTTGCCGGACGACAATAACTTGCATCCAACGTAAGCCCAGTCTTCTCGTCCGAAAGGCCGCACACCGCAGTCACCGTCGCGCTCGTTCCAAGAACGCGCAATGGCGGCGATAGAGCTACGTATCCCATGTGACTTAACACAATTTACATTAATATCTTTCATCACCAGTTTCAACGTGATTCAATGTGATTTAAATGCTTATACCAAACGCAAACAACTTACAAGTGATGAGACCACATCATGGAGCAGCGTGATTTTGCATTTCCTTATTCATCTCTATTCTCTTCCACGTGACCTTGCCACCTGAAAAACTTACACACGCGCGCAGTTCGTCCAAGATAACACACTTTACACAACCGGAAGTAAAAATGCGCATAATTGCGTTTTTCGAGGACCAGCTGAAAATCGAATAAACATGTTCAAACAAGACTAAATATCTCATTTAAGGCCTCTGAAAACCGAGGTCCGGCATTTGGACCTCGGTAGTGAATACCGGACCTCGGCAGTGACGGGTTGTTGGGTGTGTAACCGGATTTGGTCCTCTGTTTTCACGGCACACAAGAGCACACACACACACACACACACACACACACACACACACACACACACACACACACACACACACACACACACACACACACACACACACACACACACACACACACACACACACACACACACACACGCACACACACACACACACACACACACACACACACACACATATATATATATATATATATATATATATATATATATATATATATATATATATAATGAGTAACCAGAATGCACCGCACGAAACCCGAGGTTTTTGGACCTGTTCCCTTATGACGACTTTGACCAATTTGCCCCCCCCCCCCCATCGTCTTAGAAAATCGACACTCATGCTCATTGGCATGAACAAAGAACACGCACAGCGGCCTCATTGGACAGACAGGCTTAATAAAGCAATAAGGCATAATAGTCTGGCATATTCTGAAGACTGGCGTGAGGAGTTCATAATGAGCCCTGCCCCCCCCCCCCTCCCCCTCCCCAATTCTGAAGCTAATCCTGGTTGCACCTATGGGTTTACCAAACCCGTGAGCTCCTCTAGTTCACATTTACTCGTCGCCCATTGCTCATCTTTGTTGCTTATTGGTATTTTAGGATGCGTCGACTACAGCAGCCTTTTTGCGCCCACCCATTCCTAACCACTCTTAACCATACCTTACCCACCCATTTGATTTGGTTTTGCCGTACGTAACGCGCACACTTCAGGAAATGTTCAGGGAAATTTCCGTGCGCCGGCAGCAAGTGACTGCTGCCGTACCTAACGTACCCCACACACACCAGCGTGCGGCCCACGTGGTCGTTACGCACGACATGACATCAAACAATAGCGCAGTGTCGACGCGGGGCGCGGTGGCTGGCGCGGCGGCCGGACCGCCGTGGCGTCGGCACGGTGCTAGTGGTCCGCAGGAATACCGGAGAATGACGGCCGTTATAATTGTAAAGCGCTGAGTCAGGATTAGGGCTAGGCTGTTCCCCAGACACAGGGGCGAGTCTGGAGGGGGAGGGGCACGGGGTCACAGGTCTTTCGAGGGCTCTCCACGATGGGTCTTGGGCGTTCCGTATTTGAATAGGGATCTTACACCCTTGTCGGAGGCCTATCTGATAACCTGCTCGGGCACATTCGATCGTTCGGGGACCCTCTACGTTGGGTCTTGGGTGCGTCCTATTTGAACGGGGCCCTAGGCTCTTGTTGGGGGCCCCTTTGTCCGCCTCCTCGGCTACACTGGATTGTTCGGGCCCTGCACATTGGGTCTTGGTGTTTGAATTCAAGGCCCACACTCCTGTCGGGGGCAATCGGATAATCTGCTCGGATGCACTCCATCTTTCGGAGGACCTCCGCACTGGGTTTTAGATACTTCGTATTTGAATGGCGGGCCCTGTGCTCTTGTCGAGCCCTTCTGATGAGCTGCTCGGGCGCATCCCATCGTTCGGGGGCTATTTACGTCGGATCTTGGATGCTTCCTCTTTAAATGGAGAGCCTTACGTTCTTGTTGGCAGCTCCATCTGTTAACCTGCCCGGGCACACTCGATCATTCCTGGGCCCTCCATGCTGTTGTCTTGGGCACTTCTTATCTGAATGGATGGCCCTATGTTCTTGACGGGCCCCATCTATTTAACTCTCGTACCGGTGGCGGATACAGATGGGGGGGGGGGGGGGGAGGCACAGGAGCATGCCCCTATTACTATACTGAGCAAACCTAACCGGCCGGACGGACGCAGTTTTCTAACAAAACAAAAACACGTCAAAACTAGATATCTTTGGGCCTAGGGACGACCAAGAACGTTCGCCAGCAAAAGCAAAGAGTTCATATGCAGACAAAGTTAATTCTTCGCTGATTAAAAAGGTGTTCCTTCGGGGAAAACTTTGTGGCTCATTACGCTTTCCAGAGGTATTACGCTGTTGCCCGGGCCCTATACGCTCACTTACCGGGTCACTCTGATCTCCAAGGAGCTTTCCACGTTGCCCTTGATCCCTTTGCATTTTTTCGTAGGACCCAACGCTGCTGTTGGGACACCACCTCCTCCCATGCCTGGGCACTCTTGATCGATCAGGTTTTGCTCAACGGATTCCTCCGATTCGCCCGAAAGGTTTTATACGCTTTCCGGGGTCTATATGTGTATGCCAGGGTACACTCAGTTGCTCAGGGGCCCTTCATATTAGTCTCGGGGTTCTATCTACTTGTTCGGAGGGAGCCTTACCATGTTGCGTGGCCCCCTTGACGAAATCCTAGAACCTTCCCTGCTCAGATACATTACTCAAATCGCCGCCCTACATGTTCCTAGCCCATCCCTGATGAATATCGCAGAGCATTGTCCGTGACGCCATGATCATTGTCTGTTAACATGTCCAGCACGCCCTCGCCGAAGTCCCCGCACGCCCGCCACCACGCGGCGACCGCGCCAGAGACGCCGCCGGCGAGCCGTGCACAGTGCACAGGGCGCCGCAGTGCACGGCGGGCGTGACGCCCCGGTGGATCAGCGCACCGTGTCACCATGCAGCCAGGTGTGGCGTGACGGCGTGCGCTGACGCCCCCGTCACGCCGGCGCCGGCGGCGTGAGCTGTGGCGCCTGCCAGTCACGCATGGCACCGCTGACTCACGGCGCATGCGCGGTGATTAAACCCGCGAGCTTTTTTGTGGGAGAGAAGGAAGGCGAAGCCCGGCAGTTGATTAGTATATATATATATATATATATATATATATATATATATATATATATATATATATATATATATATATATATATATATATATGTGTGTGTGTGTGTGTATGTGTGTGTGTGTGTGTGTGTGTGTGTGTGTGTGTGTGTGTGTGTGTGTGTGTGTGTGTGTGTGTGTGTGTGTGTGTGTGTGTCACACAGCAGCAAGTATAGCCTTCTTTGAGTGTGGACAAGTGTTTCTGATGGAACGTGGAAAGTTTGAGCGTTTACAGATTTTCTTGAGGCCCAGCTTTGCTCCGACTCTTTGACTTCGTTTCCAATTCACACCCGTTTGGTTCCGTTGCTTGGTCCTCTCGGCTTACCCACCTAGACCAAATGCCGTAACCCTTTGCTCTCACGTAGCACACCCTACGACCGATCCTTATCCTCACACCAACACAAAGTCACTGGGGCGTACGCACATGGCTACCCGAAGAAAAGTGTCCCCCTCTCTATTATCAACATGGACTTGAAAAATAGGTGAATAAAAAGCAATGTTAAAACATTCATGGCAGACAGGTCGAAAACGGCAAACAAAAAACGTGTCATGTTGTTTTACGCGATGCAACAAATTTTGGGCGGCAGGTGTGTTTTTTACTTAAATTTTATGCTTTGTGACAAATATTGGGCTTAACATGGTGTTTCGTGAAAACGTTTATTTACGCCCTCCCCTATCACAAAGCTGTGCATGCGTCCCTGCAAGAGTCTACAAACTGATAACGGTTGACATTCCCGGTGCGCGTCACAGCCCTGCACCGGTTCCGCCTCAGCCCGCGCCGCGCGCACCCGCCGGGCTACCCCGGACGGGCGGCGCGGTCGCTCAGCCCGGCAGCGGCGCGGGGAGTGACAGACGGGCGGCAGGTGCCTCGCAGTGCAGGTGCGGCCGCTCAGCCTGGGCCAGGCGCGGCTGACGGGCGGCGGGAGCCCCGCAGTGCAGGCGCGGCCGCTCAGCCTGGGCCAGGCGTGACTGACGGGCGGCAGGGGCCTCGCAGTGCATGCGCGGCCGCTCAGCCTGGGCCAGGCGCGGCTGACGGGCGGCAGGAGCCTCGCGATGCAAGCGCGGCCGCTCAGCCTGGGCCAGGCGTGACTGGCGGGCGGCAGAAGCCTCGCAGTGCAGGCCCGGCGGCTCAGCCTGGGCCAGGCGCGGCTGACGGGCGGCAGGAGCCTCGCAATGCAAGGGTCACCACGCTATGGCTTGTATCACAAATGTGTATCTATAATTTGTTGCACAAGAATGAACACCTGCAAACAATGCAGATTGCATTAGCAGCAAGTGGACCCCAAGCAGCTGCCCATGCGGACTGTGGCATGAGTGTAACAAGTGGCAAATGTTTCCCTCGAAGCGGGCAGAACGGCCCTTGTCCCCTTCCTCCAGCACCGATGCCCCCCCCCCCCCCAAACACGCAAGGCGGTTGGCCACTCGCGATCAAAGCCAAGACAAGCGCATGCCACGGCATGCATTCCGAACCAACTGGGACACGGTTGACAGACTGCAGCGCGGAACCGCTGTGCGGGCCCCCAGCGCCTTCAGCTCCAACGGTCAGAAGCACGCTCCGCTGCGGAACGCCGTTCTTTCTCCGCGTGCGCCGCTCAGCCCGGCCGCGCGCCGCAAATGTCCTCAGTTGGTGCAGCTCGGCGGCGTCAAAAGCCTGCAGCGGCCGGCACGCATCGACCAGTTGACTTACGGCCTGCTTCGAGGGAACAGAGTCGAGCGTGCGCAGCGGCTGTCCAGCGCCAGGGGCGGCGCCACCCGGGAGAGGGGGAGGGACGCGTCCCCCTGTGTCGTCGGTTAGGAGGGGACGTTCTCCCTATCCTAGCA